GGAGAATATACTCACCTGCTGAGGAAGCTCCTTTTGGTGTTCCAGTATTCTGAGTTGAAAAGTGTGAGGTTCCAGCTGCCTTTTGTGTGCCCTGTTTTCAGCTTCCATGTTTTTTGGTGGGCTCTCTCCTCAGCTCCCTTTGGTCTCCCTGATCCAAAATCTCACCAAGGTCTCCAGAGCTCATGTTCTTTATGGGCTGTCCAGTACTGCAATCAGGCCAGTTCAACTGCAGTGTTTTCCTCTGTAACATCTGGGGCAGAAAGGTTCTTGGACTCCCTCTGGTCAGCACTTATGAGCAAAGCTTTCAGCTCCTGGAATTTTCTTTTTATGGGATATTCCCCTCTCCTTACATAACTATTCCAGCTCTTTTCTGTCCAGACCATCATATGACTGTGATTCATTCATTATGACTAATGTGTAACCTTTAAAGCTCTCAATACTAAGATTACACTTTTATCAGAGCTAGGTTATAATCTCTAAACCCAACTGACCTGTTGCATGTGAATCCTGCTAAGAATACATGAGTGTCAAGCTGTCTGGAGTGGCTCACAAGCATGAGTACCAACCTTAGGACAGACTGTTAAGAAGGAGGCCACAAACTCCAAACGGGTTGTGAGCTCTATACTTAGATTTCACCAACTAAGTATCAAGTGTGAACTCCTAAATCACTTCAATAACCTTAACATGGAGTGCACTTGGCTACTCTGATCTATCTTGCCACTCAGGCACGCTTGCTATTGTGACAGATGGTCCCTTACACCAAATATCACAACAATATTCAGGTTACTCCCAGTCCCAAAGGACTAGTCACTTACCGCAGGTCAATTGCACCCTAGATCTTTCACCAAAGACAAAGCTTGTAGCCAATCCTACAATAAACTAACTAAAGATTTATTTCTTTTCTTAGCTAACAAGAGTTAATTACAAGATTAAAGCAGGTAAACACACACACAAATGAGTTACAGTCTTAGGCTCCAAAAAGCAATAGAAAAGTAATAGCTGCAATACGCTAGCTTTATACGTCCTCCAGGGCTAAGCCAGGCCAAGCACTAGGGAACTCTTGCTTATGTTTAGCGATCTTCACCCCTCACAGTTCAAGCAGCATAGGGATGCACAGGATCCTTCTTGTCAGGTATTTTTATTCCCTTCCCCCAGAGTTCAAGCTGATGGGATGAGTTCACCTGCTTGTCTCCTCTTCATAGGTGAGGGGGAGCAATCAACAAAGTCTTCATTCTCTGATGTTTCATAATGGCTCATTAGCTTTCAGTGGGCCTTCTTGGTGGGCAGAACATAATACCTTCCATAGGAAGCCAGCATTTCTACACTAATTAATGCTCCTTTCTTGTTTGATGACTCACATAATTACAGAGGACTACAATGCAAACATTTAACATAACCTTAAAACATGGGGTACACTGATGTTATAAGCAAAATTAATACACACAGCATCCTACAAGCATTTCATAAAATCTAAACACTAAACCCATTTTTATAAACTTAACATCTATTGAACAATACCAACACACCAGACTGGTGAGCCAGACTGGTTTTCAGCTATGCATTTGTCAGTGTTCAGTGAAGCCTAGGGCCTTGGCATGAGCTGGCACCTGGTCTGCCAGCGTCACAGTGTTCTTTGGGGAAAACTGTTTAGACTTTGTTCCTGAAAATTATTGAGTATATTAATAGTTCAAATACACTATTCAACTTGTGTAATTTCAAAGGAAGTGGGAGGCCCAAGTGGTTTGAAGACCTTGTAGAGAAGGCAGGGGTGATCTGCCCAAAATTCCATGCCACAGAATACAATCTAGTCTATGCCAGAAGTATTTTATGAGGTCAAAGAAGGAATCCTGTCTGGCAGGCATGTTTTGGCAGCATCTGGAGATGCAGTGAACTCCTCCAGGGATAGAAAAATCATTCCCAACCCTCCCATCACATACATTTCCACACTACAAAACTGTACCCTAAGTTTGATGGCTGTGAGTGAGACAACCTTGAACACAATTTGTCTGGTCTACATTGACTACCAAGTTGTGGTCAATACCGTGAGATATAACTCCATTGTTCATAGCAGTGTTCAAACAGGATAATCGTCTGTAAAAGGCACCGAGAAGCAGAATTATAACAAGGGGCTCTCCAAGAACCTCCCCCCTCCCTTTACAAGAAATAATCTTAAGAGCAGTCAGTAGTAGTTTTTTAGATCAATCTGTTTTGGGAGGCTGGGGAAAACTTCCACTTTTTAAGAATTCTTTTTCACCTCCCTCAGAAAAGATAAATGTGAAATTTATGAGCAACCAGTTCAGTGTCTTGAGTTCTCTGTGGGTAACTTTCTGGCAAGAGAGCAATAATCACGTGTGTGTCAAGGAAACCAAACAACATTTTTATACATGAGCTACAGAATTGAATGCATTATTTAAACTGAAGTTATCACTAAATGTCCTATCCTGCAAATCAGGGAGACATGGAGAATGACTCTATAGTTAAGAGTTAGATACAATGGAGGACAAACAACCCATTATTCAGGTGTGTAATTCAATTTAGAGTAAAATTTACCAAAGTGACTTCAAAATTTAACCCTCTGTATCCAAACACCATTACAACTCTTTAGAGAACAATTTTCTTTGTAACATTTCAGTAAAATATTTACTAGGTTTTTTAGAGGAAGTGTCTATTCCTTTTTTGGACTATCCTGTTTCCTCAAATTTCTGAGAGTTATTCTAATTAAAAATAATTGCCATGATTTCCAAACTTCTCTTTCATTCCCCCATACTCTTGGATAACAGTAGACACATGCCACTTTCGACGTTTTAAAATTAAACACATTCTTGTCCCCCTTACTTGGGGTAACCTATGTTACACCAGAACTAGCCAACAGAACTGTCAAGTTACATCAGCTATTTCTGCCTTCAGATGCTGCCAACCTGCCTCCCTAGCCGCATTGCTCAGAGACCATGGGGAACCAAGGAGACAAATGAGGCAGCAGGCAGTATGGGGGTTGGCTCCTGGGAGGGTGATGGGGGAGCAGACAGGTGAGCCAAATGAGAACGGCTTTGGAGAGCTGTAGGTTAGCAGGGATGTATGCAGGGGTTGTGGGGAGATGGGGGGGGGGGAAGAGAGAGCGCGCGAGCATGAGAAAGCTTGCATCAATGCATGGGGTGCAAGAGGCAGAGGGAAGCCCAGTGTCTGTGCATCACAGTGTTGGTGTTTGAAGAATAAACTCTTCTCCTGATGGAGAAGCTGATGCCTACATGCAGAATCATGGGACACCCTCCCACCCTAAGCTCCCCAAAACAGCTGAATCAAAATCCCCTTCCCCTAAACCTCCCAATCACCCCTTCTCAGGTCCCTTAGAGCACCAGACAGCAGCACTATGGGAATTGGGGACCGGGGGGTGGGGGTTGAAAGAGATGAGCAGACATGCAGAGGGGACATGAGGCATGGGAGAAAGGAGGCGGGGGGGAGGTGGGGAAGGATGGGGCTTGAGCTGGGAGATCCAGAGAGGGAAAAATGAAGAAGACATCTCTACCTGCAGCACAAATCCCTACTCCCTCTAGTTCTATACTGGGGTTAAAGTAAGGGGTAAAGATGTAAAGCCGTGGATCCTTCTCCTTTCCCTGGCCTGTGTAAATGGCTGCTCCCCAGCAGAACCCCCCTTCTCTCCTTGGCATGGATAAGCAATGTTTTCTCATCGCTTTCCCTTCTGCTTGGTTGGCAAGATGACGGCTTCCCCCTCCTGTTTCAAATCCACTTTAAACACTTCTCAAACTCATGCAACTTTATCCCTCAACACAAAATGTTAGCTATTGAGAAAGCAAAAAACAACACCATACTTCTTCAGTAAATCACTTCAAGGGCTCCAGTACAAACACTGAACAACAACCTCAAACATGATAAAAGTTTTATATTCTATTAATTGCCTCCATTAATAATCAGCAGCAGCAAACTTAACTCAAACTAGCGACAAAAACTATTCACCGTACTCTAAATTAGCCACCTACTTCAAACAATATCAGTTCCATAACCTGAACAATCGCAGAACATCCATTACTCCTGGTTAGAATTAAAGGTTCCGTGTTAAGTGTAGAGGTGGTGAGAAGTAGCATGTGTTGTGGGTGGTATGTTTGCGTCATAATACAGAGTTAGCGAAGTCACTGTTACTGTTGAAAGGGCTGGGTGAGGACTTCAGACACTGATTTCCTGGCCTTATTATGCTTTTATTGTTGTTACATGCACTTGAGCAACCTTATCATAGAATCATAGAATCATAGAATATCAGGGTTGGAAGGGACCTCAGGAGGTCATCTAGTCCAACCCCCTGCTCAAAGCAGGACCAATTCCCAACTAAATCATCCCAGCCAGGGCTTTGTCACCTTGAGTGATTTGCAGTCAAATATTGTGTTTGGAGAGGATAAATTATACACATGTAATTTTTAAAGAGAAATATCTTGCATGGGAAATTAGGACAAATGGAAAATTTGCTACCTCATGAATTCTACTGAACTGTCTTGTTTGCACTGGCAAAACTTGCCTTATGAACTCCATACATTGCAATTTTATTAGTGTCAAACTCCTAGGTTTGCGAGGCTGCTCTCTAGAATAGGACTGTTCTCATGTTTGGCGGCTGAGCTCCAGGCAGGACTGGCTACTCACTAATGCAGTAATGCTCTCCTCCTATGTAAAGGAGACATTTTGGTTTACAGGTAAAATTTTCAAAAGTACTTAAGTGACTTTAGTAGCACCTTCATAGCCTAAATCCCATTTTCAAAAGTGATTTAGGAGCCTAAGTCACTTTGGAAATTTTTAAAAAATTTATCCTACATTTTTGGCACAAACATCATGGTGTACACAATAAGTTAATTAACGAACTGAACACTTCATCTAACACAATAAGTTAATTAACAAACTGAACACTTCATCTAAATTGATATTTAAAAATACATTTAAACTAACTTTCAAGAATGAATTATTGCTATTTGTGTAATTACTGTTTAGAATATACTTACCCTGGATTATAAAGCATGACAGCTGAGAGGTTCTCACAAGATTTTGAAAGATCTGTCATAGATAAACTGAAGGAAGACAGTAGTCCACTCTAACAGAACATAGAATTAAAAGATTATTACTAGTATTAAAGAAACACTGCTGTGCTTACAGAAATATCACTTTTTCTACTTGACAAAATATGAACTATTTTGATGTAAAGCAACGCAAAATATTATCTAAACCAGTGAATATTTAAACATATTAGAAACAAAAATTATTAAAAGATTTGAATTCCTCAGGTACTCACCTTTCTTTTTTCCCTCAGTTTGGCAGCTTCCTTGGGATGATTAAAGCGAAACATATTGGTTCTCCCAAGTAATATAACAGCACCTGGCAGGAAAAACACACACACAGGTTTATTGACAGCTTACTGTACCAGGAGATGTCCAATAATTTTCTCAGTCATCTGACAAGAGCACTGACTTCTACAACATAAGACAAAAATGAAAAAGCATTATTCTAACAACTAAGGTTTAGGGTTTTTTTTAATGTTTAGATGGAGCTGGAGCTGTGTTAATAGTTATTGTAGTATATACCTTGTTCCTCCCTATTACTACTTTAAAATACATGGATGTTATGTCTTTTTTTTACAAAATATAGACTTACCATTGGACTATTTTATCCAAAGAACAGAGGCAAGCAGTGGAGATGGCAGTAGGTGCTTTCTCACACTGCTTTGCCTATGTATACTTCAAGGCCCATTTGGAGAGCTCTCTTCTATGGTTAGTAGATAGTCCAGTCTCCAACCCATTTAATCTCTGGATTCCTTTCTGAAAGGTGCCAGTTATTGCCAAATGTAACCTGTCCAGTACTCAGCACAGGTGAAAACACATGCCTAATGGCAATGACTTTCAATCACTAATGATCTGAGACCAATCTGAACCAGCTACTATACATGCAGAAGACTCCATTACCCCGTCATCATCTGTGCTCTCAGCCATTCATTCCCCCAACCAGATAAACATTGATCCGAAACACTTTAATATCCAAAACAGGGTCATCTGACTATGATGCTGAAAATCTATTTCATGAACCAAAACAATGAATCTCTCAAATTATTCAATAGCCCCCCATTACCTTCAGATAGGTCAACATGTTCTGTGTTTAATCAATTACAGATGACAAATGAAAACACATTTCTGGGCAGCTACTGCCAGATTTGGAGGACATTAAGGCCAATTTTAATAATACTCTATAACTGTGTTATCAGTGGCATCTTACTGTTATAATGAAATAGAAACTCTTTTTAAATAGCCATAGATTTACCTGGTTTTATGGATGAAAAACTTGCCAGCACAGTCAGGCAAAGCTTGAGGAGAGGTGTCATATTTTACTTCAACAAGCCAAGTATGTTAGGATCAAATTCTGCCCTTAGATATGAACGTTCCACTTGATTAAGAGAATTTGCCTTACTGAGAACATAAGTTGGTTTTTACTGTGATCACAATTTACATGGTCTTTAATAATTATGAATAAAAATCTGGAGTGAAATTCTGGCCCCAGTGAAGTCAATAGTAAGACTCCTATTGACTTTGATGAGGTCAACATTTCATTCCTATATAGGCAGCATCCCAAATTGCTTTACTGTAGTTTCCTATTAGACTTGTGGTTACAGTATTTACTTTAGGTGATATAGACTTCCTAATGTATATATGCTGGTAATGAGAGCATCAAGTCTACTGGCCAAAATAATTATACAACTAAAATGGAAAACTGATGTGGGCAATTTTGCTAATTTGCAAAAGTTTCTTTACAGTCTAGTGGGAGACCTTTAATGTTTTGTCTGAATACTTAGAAGAGCATGAGTATCAATTGGCATAGTCGCCACTGATTCTTAAAGTAAGCATTCATGTTTGTTTCCGATTGTAAGTTATTGTGTATATTGTATATACGTGGATGCCATCTTGTTCTATGGCCTCCCTTCCCTTTTGTTCTACTTTTAAGAATGTATTTGTAGATATTATTTGTATGTTGGAAATGCCTACAGATTCTCACTATGCTCGGTACTTTGCACACGCAGACGTGCTTTACAATCTAAATAAATCTGGCAGACAAAGGGCATGAGAAATGTTGGCATTATCACACAGAAAGGTGAAATCAAATATCCTTTGCTTTCAATTCTGGATTATAGCAACAGTGCTATTGCATTTCATTCCAGTCTAATCTTAAAAAGATTTACTGTTCATGAAGGTTTGTGTTGCAAACTCATCTCGATACCATCTCTGTAATTTATGTGATGCAGTCAGGTTGGCCTTTCTGTCATGAAATGCATTGGTACCCTTTTTTATGAAAGCACATTAAACAGGTCCCTGCTGGTCATAACCACTATAGCTTAAGTTGTAAAACCATTTCCATTCTAATACTATTTCATATGATTATAATTTTCCCAAACATATTCTTTTTCATTCTTGGTCTCTGCTGGAAGGTTATTTTGATTATTTTAAGAGGGTGGAGGGGGGCTGATTTCAGTGAAACTCCTTAATCTATTTCGGAGTGAGTGTAAAAATCATTCATTCTAAAATCTTTAACCGCTTTTCCATGTGATCAGATGAAAACAACAAACAAGTGAACTGAAACTTCAGAATCAGTATGTAGATAAGCATTATTGTTTCTGCAAATCTGAAAAAATGGGTTTTAAAAATAAGTAGCAATATTTGAAACTAGGTGATTACGCATACAAAGTAGGACACTCCATTGTTAGCTGCACATTTAGATTCCTATGCATCTAAGGTACCTATATGGCTCCCATCGTTATAATATCTGAATTCTTCACAATCTTTAATGTATGTATCCTCACAAAACCCTTGTAAGGTAGGGGGAATGTTGTTATTTCCATTTTACAGATGGGGATTTACATTTTACAAATTAACATTTTAGTGTTATTCTTTCTATTACTTAAGCATGATTATACAATTTTTACTCCCACTTAAAAGCACTTACTTAGGTTAGTATCAACATTAAAACAGAACAAAAAGCATATTTGAGCCTAACCAAAGTTTGCAAAATATTTGCTAAATAAGAGGTCACATTGCTCAATATTACATGATTGTACAATGCAATTCCACATCAAAATGCATGTGTGCAAAGTGCAGAGTTGATGTTGTCATGGAAACAACTGGATTTGCTATGAGTTGCATGATTTATTTATTTTTTTATTTTAAGTACCTACATTCAGAGTTGGAGTAAGCGGCAAAGGAAAGGGTTTATCAGACAGCATCAATAGGCATGTTCCCTACCACTTGCGTAATTCTTATCTGGTAATATAATTGATTTCTCCCCATTCATATCCAGTTTCAACAGAAAAAAAAATTTGGATGAAAATAAAATGTGCATGGTTCTGCACATTATATCACCAAACATATCCCCACCACATTGAAAAAAATGTTGCAACCATTAAAACTAACTGATACATAATGAGAATCTTCCTGGATGTAAGGCAAAAGTTATTTTTAGTTGAATTCTAAAAAAAGGGAATTTTTAAAAGTAAAAATGTGATGGTATTTTGGCCTAAATCTGGATCCAAATTGGATTTAGGCTGGGATTTATTCAAAACAGAAAACAGTCAAACATTTAAATATGGATTTAATGCTGCTGAAAATCTTACAAGATGTTTTTATTAGGCGAAAATATTACAGTAGGTTGTAGTTAGACAAAAAGCACATTAACTAGAATTTACAAATGTTTGAAGTAATTTGGAGAAGGAAGTGATAATTATGTGCATTTATTCCTAGGGAAATTTAAACACTAACACATTTCCAAACAAATGGTAATTTACTAATGAAAGGACACATTTAAAAGTCTCAGCGGTAAATTACAACTACCTAGAGCAGATATTTAAAGGTGCTGAGATTCCAGGTTGAAAACGTAAACATTAATAATCAGTGCTAAGATGTGTGTATTACAGAACAGCATGAGAACTAGCTAGTTCATGAGTTCTGCTGTGTGTGTGTGTGTGTGTATATATATATATATATATATTGTGATAGACCCAGGCCAGTTGGGTACAGCAGAATAGCAGAAGGCAGATATACTGGCCACTGGATTAACAGTTTTCTGTTCCCTGACTGACCAGAGCAGGGGCTGCTCCAGGCTAATGAGAACACCTGACTCCAATTAACCTGCAAAGAGTCAGGTGAGGCCAGTAAGCTAATGTGACCACCTGACTCTAATTAAGGCCCCGCTGATACTATAAAAAGGGCTCACTCCAGTCAGGCAGAGGAGAGCCAGGGAGCCAGAGGAGAGGAAGTGCGGCTGAAGGATTGGTTAATGAAGACACCCTCAAGTTATTGATAAGGGAGCCCTAAGGTAAGGGAGAAGCAGGAGAGCTGTGGGGAAGTGGCCCAGGGAAATGTAGCAACTCTGGCAGTGAAAGGTTGGCTGCCAACAGCTGCTACCATTAGGGTCCCTGGGCCGGAACCCAGAGTAGAGGACGGGCCTGGGTTCCCCCCAACCCACCACTACAGGAACACTTCCTGGGAGGGGAAGTCAGGCCCTTGTCAGGACAGGAGGCTAAACTGTTCTAAAACAAGCCCTAGGGACAACAGAGACTGTGGGAATTCTCTCACCAACCTCCTTGCTGGCTTATGATGAAAAGGGCTCAGTAGACTGTAACCCTGGCCTTAGAGAGAGAAGGGCTACGTGGAGGGTCACAGAGAGCCACTGAGGCTAGCATATACCGCCTAGAAGCACAGGACCCACGGGGACAAGGTCAGAGCTCTGCCACAACATATATATGAAACTTTAGCACCCTCGTGGCCAAGATGGAGTCTAATCTGCAGGCATCTCTGTCCAAGAAAGGCACGTGCAGAAATGTAGCAGGGAAACTCCCTTCCACCCCAGGAGCACCTCTTCCACACCCCTGGAGTAAATACACACCCACCTAGTGAATATAGTAAAGGCAGCTAGGCTGGCTCCTCCTTATTTCAGCTCCTTTACGGTTAAATGCTTAGATGGATACAGAAATAGCTACACTGCACCATGTGACCTGCTAGCTCTCTAAAAGCCATCCGCAAGCATTCCATGAACTGCAGTTTGAGAATCATTGGCTTAAACAAACAGCAGAAAATTCTGATGAAATAATTTTAATAAAAGGAAAAATTCCTATACTAGACAGCAAAACCTTATCTGCTTTCTTTCAAATACTTCTGACAGCAATTCCAATCTGCCCCTTCTCATGTGGACTCAGTACTAATGAGGAGAGCCTCACTCTGCACAGTATACTAAGGGGCTCTTCCCCAAATCCTAACTCTTTCTAGGCAATGGCCACACTCACCCCAGTGGTGCTTGGGTTTGGGATATGCTCTGGCACTAAAATTTCACAAAGTCCACAAGACCACTGCCCATACAAAGCTGCAATAAAATGTTTAGATATTTTATTTGGGGAAAAGATAGCTGCTTGCCAAAAACCTGGTTCAAACCAACAACCTCTATAACTTACCTAACGCAAAGCCACACAGCCCCTACACCAAATACTCCAGAGAAAGTAAAGGGGGTCAAAAAAACTTAACTGTACTTGCAGTCTGCAACATAAGAAAAATTCCTTCTCATCCCCACATGGCAATCACCTAAACCCTATAGGATGCCATCTTTCCATGGCAAAAACGGTGCCACCACATCTAACTGAATTGCCTATACCTAATCCCATTCATACAACCATCGTCCCACAACAACAATTTTGGCGGAGTCCAGGAAGCACAGGAAGGGGGCCGCTTTTGTGCTGGGATGGAGAAATATGCTTCTAGCCCTTTGGAACGGTGACCCAACTGAATCAATGAGCAGGCTTGACAGTCCCTAATCAAGCCAACTAGATCTCTTGTCTCTTTCCCTAATCCTCATGAGAGGAACAATCACTACAGAGGCTTGCGAGAGGGGAATGGAGTTCAAAATTTTAGCTCCCTCTAGGGCCCAGCTGAACTTTACCCCATTTAAGGTGAGGCAGGAATTACACTGAAACTGAACTCCTTCACACCTCAGTTGTTAAAGTGCAGTTTGCCCTTTAATGTCAATATTTTTAGTCGTAAGCATTAGTCAACGTTAGGATTACGTTTTTAGGTGCTTAAAATAAATTGAAAAATAAAAGTGCAAATAACCTTAAAAATATTAATGAAGGTGAACAGAAAGAAGTAGAGTGCTTCTTGTTCTTGCCAGTGATAAAGGCAGGCTACAATTTACTGCAGTTTTATGAACATATTCCCTGCATTATTGCATGGATCCAAACAGTAGAGTGGTTGCAACAAGTGCTCCCCACCCACCTTCTTACCTCTTCTATGAATAACCCTCACTTGCAGTCTGATTTTCCTCTTCAATGGACTCGCACCAAAATATGTATCAAATGCTTACCAGGCACTGGAACACTCCTAGGATTTCCTACCATAGCTGGAGTGTGTGTATGGCCAATAAAAGGAGGGAGCATGAAGATATTTTGAAACAAGCAACTATCTTTAGAGAGGAAACCCAATGATTTGTTAAATGTTCTGAGTTTGCAAAATCACCAGAGGTGTATGAAATGGCAACACTGTAAACATGAAAGTCCTCATTCATATTTGGATGTCACTACAAATAATGAAAACTACCGAGCCTCATACAATTTGGGAAGCGTTGTACTCTGTGCTTCGGATGTCGTCATCACGATGCTGGGACAGGCTACTGCCAGTCAAGTAAAAGCAATTCCCCTCTTATGTTGCAATTAGCTGACAAATTTATGACATGGCTGCCAATGTTGAAGAACAGTTATTTACAGTTCAGGAGAGAGCTTGTGATCTTCCTATTAGGGACATTGCCTCTCTCCTCATACCATTCTCCTGCAGCTGCAGTCAGCAGAGTTGCTCGATCTGGATTGCCATCTATTTAAAAGAGATTGGCAGGAGTGTGTGTTCTCCATGAAGGGCCTGCAGCTCTGGAGCAAACTCTCTCTGCTTCAAAACAGTCCTGCTCTGTTGGCCTTTAGGGACTTTTTTTTTTTCTTTTGGGGGGGGGGAGTAACAAACATGGACTAGCATTCCTTTTCATTATTCTAGCAATACAAACTGACTTTTAACCTTTCATAGGCTTCCCTTGTATAAAAATCCATAAATTCAAATATTTAATAACCATGAGTGTGAATTCATAACAATGGTTTAAGCTTGTTAAACATTCTCTTTCCGTTATAAGATTTCTCTAGTTCAACCAAAGAAAGCTAAAATAAAGGCTGTACTGATTATTTTGGGTAGTGAGAGAGGAGGAATGGAACAGTAAAATTAAAACTGAATTTAACAACTGTATCCTTATGATGCAAAGGCCTTTCACGGTTATCACCAGGCAGAAACAAAACATCATGAAAGAAAATATGTTTTTCTGAGCAAATACCTTGGTTTAGTTGTGTGGCCTCTGTAATCTGAATTCCATTCACAGAACACTGTGCTCCATTCAGTGGTATTAAATTCACTGTACCGCTGAGATTTTCAAACACGCAGTGCTCACTTTCCAAATCAAGGCCATGAAGAACTAAAATACCCCAGAGCAAAGAAAAGAGTTATTTTCCTAGCATTTAATGAGACTTGGATTTTTTTTCATTGATTGCGGGTGCACATCACCAGGCATTTGAGTATGTATTAGTCACTTTACTCTGGACAATATTCTGTGTCCTCTCCACCAACCCATGTGGACATTTGATTTGCCTCTTTTTTTGGTAGGGACAACTTTTCTTATAATTCCACTGGACAATAATGCCTTCCAGACAAATCTTAAATTGTGGGAGCAATTATTTTTATCTGCATGTGTAACTTGGGGGCAATTACATTTAATCTGAAAATACAGGATGTTTACAATGTAGAATACTTAATACTTGTCTGCAGTCACTGTTATTAAAGGATAGTCAAGATAGAACAGAAACTCAGGTTTCCCATCCCCGTGCTTAATCCACTAGACCACGTAGCTTTTTTCCTTCTCCCCCTCACGTCCCACATGAATTTTCATGGAAAAATAGCTTGTGTTTTTCACCATAATCAGATAATCATACACCATTTTGTCAAACATTTCAGAGTCCGGGACACACACTAATTTAATGGAAGCTTTACAAACACAAAACCAGGCATATTTTGACCAAAGAAACCTGTTATAAAATTTGCCCAATTCCAATTTCTCAAATTATACCCAAAGGATATGGTTTATCAACACACACTACTATCAATGTCACTTGACATAACATATGCCATGCAGTACTCCAGAATTAGCTCTCATTCAAACATGAAGAGAATATGCAGGTTAGTTTAAGTAGGTGTTGTCTCCATCAACCTGGGGAGCTTTCCATAAGACCATACAAAAATACTGTCAGCATGCCAACAGGTTAATCAAATGATCGTGATCTTGACTACAGCAGTTTACTACACAGAAAGGGACAATATTATCATAGGGCACTGTTTCAGTTTTACAATGACCAGGTTAATAATGCATCTCATGGTGCATGGATCTGAAGGTCTGCCAAAACCCATGAACTATTTTAAAAATTATACTATTAGACACTATTTGAACCGAGTCCCACTGAATTATGATAATGAAAATCACTGTATTGAAATGCAGTTCTCTTGTGTATTTTGTTTTTTAAAAGAGTATTAAATGAACATTCATAATCAGCAAAATATATGAATATCAGTAACTAAAGAGGAGGGGAAATTTTAAACATGTTGTATGTTTGGATGTTGGAAGAGAAATGGACATTAGAAGGAAGGATGGATGTAAAAATGCCTAAACTTTCTTACCAATATCCTGTTCTGTCGCAGCATCTTCTCTGCCAACATATGTTTGGCCCTCCTAGACAGGGGAAAAAGCTATTTTTTGTAACTCTTCAAAATAAGATAGGATACATTTTTTATTACTCATCCCCACAGACACAGTACTTTGGATCAAATTATTGTTTACACATAGTATTTTGATTATCTAGTAACAATTTTAAATTGCTTTATCAGACAATCTTTATTATAAAACATTGTTAGTTCGAATTTTACTTGTATTGAGCAAAACCACCTTGACGGTTCTTAGGCAACTAATCTATATTTGGATTTCAATTCAAGCTTTAAAACAAGATGAATGAAAAACCAACAGAGCTTGCAAGAATGTCATACATCTATCATTGGTTAAAGAGTTGACCCTCAGGATAGACCTAGGCTCTAACTGATTGGTATTTTAATTTGAACAAGTTATAGCCTTTTTACAGCTGATGTCACAGTGGTGGAGAAATGTAATGATCATTTACTGTAGATTATAAATGAATACCATAATTAAAGTTGTCCATTTAAAAAGCATGAGGCAGATAAAAACTGTGGAAGCACAGAAGTGTGGTTACCTTCAAGTGATACAAGATGATCCCAGTACTGAGAAGATCATCATCAATGCCAATGAGGTGAGGCAGTTCCGAATCTAAAACAACACCAATTCCTTCTTTCCTAAGGGCTAAGGTTTGTTCCTGCAATGACAAAAATGACAAAATTTACTTTCTCCTCAAAGCAGAAAGAGGGTATTACTGTTAATTCTCTATTTAATTAACGCTTTTTAATGAATCAGTAAGGCAATGTTTACGCTGCACATCACCTACACATAGGGTATGTGTAGCTACACAGAGCAGAAAAAAGCAAGCTGTGACCACACTGTGGTGAGTAGCTACATGTGTCAATGGAAGGCTTTGGCTGTAGGGAGGCAGAGGGGAAAGCCCCTGGCAGCTTCCCTCTGCTCATGCCCTTCCCCACTGCCTCCCTGTCAGAGCTTTTCCCCCTACAGCCGAAGTCTTGGGCAGTGGGGAGCTGCCAGAGCCTGTTGCCAGAGACTTTCCCTGCAGTGGTGAAAGGCTCCAACAGCTCCCTGCTGTGGAGAAAGCTCCAGCAGGACACAACACTGCTATTTTTAGAAGGGGTAGGCACTGTTTGGGCGAGTAGAGAGCCCGGTAGGGTACATATCCATAGAGTTCAAGCAAGTCTATGCTCTACTCACCTAAGCAGTGCCTCACTGTCTACACTATTATTTAATCCATGCTGGGGGGCATGTAGCATATGTATTCTACACACCATCAAAAGGAATGTGCAGCATAGACGTACCTCAAGTTGGACACTGTACAAAAGGTCACAAGGAAATAAACAAGACTGAAAAATTAGATTTCAATTTTAAAATGGGAATTTCAAGCTTGCTATTCAGGAATTCTATAAATGTATAAATTCTATAAATTTATGTAGGAATAGTCAGTAAAGCAGCTGTATTACAGCAGATTAGGAGGATTACTCAAAAGAACCCTACAGTAATGTTGGCTGAATGGAAGTTATGTACTATTTTTGATGTTGTATGAAGAATTTGGATATTCATATGGAATTTGTAAGCATAAGGGATGGAAAATTGAGAGTTCAAATATTGAGAGTCCTCATAATGAGCCTGGAAGACTGAAAAACCAACAAGCTTGAGTAATTAGCATAACCTATAATGTAACAGTATCATAGAATATTAAGAGTAATAAATAAATAACAGTTGTAGCCATAATTTCAATTGTACACAATCCCTCACGTGCTTGATTACATTGGGACAACTCAGAGAAAAGTACCATTCAGCATGAGTAAAAGTGCAACCTTTAAGTGATAAATGATTTCTGGTAACATCTTTAAAACCTAATACTCTATTGATGTATTTAATGTATATAACAAGACTGGAAACAACAGCTTGTTTTGAAATAAAGTTTAGTATAATATTTACATGAAATTAAAAAACAAGGTTTAGATATAAAAGTACCTTTACTATTGACGTTTGGGTTTGGTTTGGTTTTTAAATATAAACCACACAGCAAAACTCCAAAGGAATCAGGATTTATTTTTCTTATACAAGTGAAATTGACATTGTAAAAAAGAGAAATTAACAAATCTCACAACCCTGTATCAGAAAGCATGCACTTTTCTAGTGGCACTTCTAAACACACAAGATATATGTCTAGTGACAGTGGAATGACTGTTGCCTATTCATTTCATTGATATGTACCCTATAGGGTCATGCAAGACCTTACAATGTTTGCACATGTGGGCAGACTTGCTATGCAAGTTCCCCTAAATACAGCAGGTTGACATAAATCTGAATATTTTCCAGCATTGCCTCCGTCAAGCCAAAATGTTACAATGACAAGACAAACACCCCCAAACAAAAACAAACAAAAAAACCCACCATGGTTAAATATGAATTAAAGTTTTCAAGAGTTCAGAAAACAAATGAATTTGTGATTAATGCTGCCCTGCAACTCTCTGACATTCAAACTGCATTCGGCAACTCCATGATATTGTAGAAATGTCATCTTATAAAACTAAAATGTAGAGCTTAAATCATTGTTCAAGTGGAAAAAGTAATTTCAGACAAAAACATCTATCACATATTAAATATTTATTGAGTAAGATCTACTGATATACATAATTTATAACACTTCTATATGACAACACTGAATACTTCAAAACAATACAGGTTGATGGCCGTTTGCAAATTGCTGGCAGTTTTGGCCCAACGCAACACATGAAATATTTAGACCTAAACATATTTTTTCAGCAGAACAAATCACTTGCTAACATCTCTTGCTGAGGCAAAAATAGGCTTGCTAAGATGTACAGAAATCATAAACTCGGGGAGAAAATCAATTATGAATAATTAAGAGCAATGAAAAATGCTTCTCCTTTCGGCTGGTAAACAAAGTTTAAATTTACTGACTACCATTAAAAATAAAATGGTTAATTATGATTTAAAAGTGATGTGTTTAAAAACAGAAAATCAACTGAATTCCATTATCAATCTCTTATTTTCGCTATATTCCTGAAAATTACATACACATAATGCATCCTATTAGTGTATGTTTTACAGACAGAGCTTATAGCACCACTACAGTTAAGGTTACCTAACACTTTCCATTTAAGACCCGTTTTCAGGTGTTTATAATTTTCTTGAATTTAAACCATTTGGGCCAGGCCCACCAACAGCAATTCTAGGCCCCAGGTCGTCCCTAGCCAGGTGCGGGGCCCGGGGCGATGATGACGAATCCGTCACTTCCGGGACCGACCACACTGGGCTGGCCAATCACTGGGCCTGGAGCGGTCACCGCCCTGCGGCCTGCCCAGGCAATTTAAAAGGGCTACCGCGGCAGCAGCGGGCCCCCGGGCCCTTTTAAATTGCCCGGGCCCCTGGCCAATTGCCCGGTTTCCCCCCAACCCCACTCCCCATCAGCGGTCCTGGTTTGGGCTGAAAATCTTCCATGCCAGGTGTCTGCCTCACACTGAGGGGGAGGGGTTTTGAAACTTTCAGCTAGAATGTTCAGCCATTTTTGAGAATAAGACTGGGGGAAAATACACTTCTACCGAAGTTTAAAAATAGTTAATTGAGAGGGCCTAGCACCGCTAATGCTTTGGAGGAGGGGCTTGGAATTTGGTAAAGGGTTGCCCCAGTATCAGGAATGTGCATTTTGCCATCCTTGTGAAAATCCACTCAAATTTGGCGGAGTGAAAAGCCTCTGGGGGGGAAAAAAAAAATCAAAGATCCCATGTTCTACTTGTAGTATGTTAGAGTTTGGCAACTAAATTCTCCCAAGACTCTATCTGCACTGTGCATGTTCCATCCCCACATAGTTCCTCTGTGCTGCTGGCCAGACTGCACATGTGTAACACCAACAAAGCCCAGTCGGCGGGGGGCAGCATCAAACCCGGGACCTCTAGAGCTAATTGCATGAGCCTCTACCGCATGAGCTAAAAGCCATATGGCTCTTAGCTAAAGCTGTAAAGCAGACTCATTAATCTCTCTCTAAGTGGTCTCGGTGCCACTAGATGGGACAGAGCACCACACCCAGGTTGTGTGTGGGTTACACATGCACTATCCCCTCAGAGGGCAACTGAGCTTGCTCCATACTGGGGCTTCAGGACTGAGCAGAGCTTTCCCTGCAATTGCTCCTCCTGGCAACCAGGGACTCCTTGGGCACTGGAACCAAGATGAGAGTTCTGTCTCTCTTCTGCGCTCAGTAACCCTCTACTTACTAGCACCCAGGCAGTGTGGAGAAGAAAGAAGCTGTCTGAGCTGTGAAACCACCGGGAATCACATTCCCCTTTAGTGAATGGTTCACATAGAGGACAACAGCCTACTGCTGCAGTTACTCCATTACCACAAGCAGTAGAGGTCTGCCCTGTAGATCTAAAAGATCCACTCCTGCCAATGACCTGTTTGGGGGTCAATATGATTACATATGATACAATGTGTTTGTCATAGTGCTTTTTTAAAATCTTAGGATATTACAAGGATCTCCATAGTGTCCTATGTCATCCTCACTCTGTCCCTAGTACATGGACTCCCAAACATGAACAAAAGTTCTGAGAAAGGAAGGCACAACATCCAACTTTAAGGATGCCCTCCATATGAAGTTGGGACACTAAAAAAAAAAAAAAAAGTACACCATGAAGAGAAACTTGCTCTGAACTGTATAACTCAGAAGTACAATTGAACACAGTTTTTTCATTAGGGTTGCATCAGTCCATCCATAGCCATTATGGGGGCACTCTCTAGGGTTCTTCCAACCTTGGTTCCAGCCAGGTGAGCCCTACACAATACTATAGAGCAGGGGTCGGCAACCTTTCAGAAGTGGTGTGCCGAGTCTTCATTTATTCACTCTGATTTAAGGTTTCGCGTGCCAGTAATACATATTAATGTTTTTAGAAGGTCTCTTTCTGTAAGTCTATAATATATAACTAAACTATTGTTTTATGTAAAGTAAATAAGGTTTTTAAAATGTTTAAGAAGCTTCATTTAAAATTAAATTAAAATGCACAGCCCCCCGGACCGGTGGCCAGGACCCGGGCAGTGTGAGTGCCACTGAAAAATCAGCTTGCGTGCCACCTTCAGCACGTGTGCCATAGGTTGCCTACCCCTGCTATAGAGAAAAGTGAAAATTCCCTTCTAGCTTGATCAGTGTGCTGTGAGTGGATGTGGAGATGGAAGTTGGAGAGAGAGAAATTTTCTAACCCCCAAATGTAGCGATCATTTTCATCCTGAGGATGTTGTAAACAAGGATCATTATCCATTACTACCTCAAAGTAATGGAAGCAGTAGTCTCTCTCTCATACACACACTTTGCTTATGTCAGTACAAGAAAAGTTGTCTTTCCCTGCTGCAACCTTTGCCAGAGTAGGGGAGATAGGGTCAGCAAGGGAGCAATCCTACTCTTATTGGCAGCGTCTTTTAACTCTTATCATAAGGAATGATCAGGTGAGTTTTTGTACCAAGACCTGCTACTGCTCCGTTAGTGCTGTCTTCCTCTCCCCCCCTGCCCCCCACCCCACACAAGGTCACTGGAATGCTGTCACCCAAAGGTCAACCTCTCCTTTGTGGAAAACCAACAAGAAAAGGGAAGGTACCAGAAGAAGGAAGGCCAGCCAAATAGAAATAGCCCTTGCATCATCCCACAAGTCACAATAA